TTTTTTTTTTTTTTTTTTTTTGATAAAAAAAACAGAGAAAAGTAAATTACTGAATCAGAGATAAAAGAAGGACTGAAGTTTAAAATAATACTGATATATGTATGATATGCAGGAACTAATGGTGCCAACGAAAGTAGCAGTAGCGGTGGTTAGCAGTTTAAAAGCACATAGGCAAATAGCCAACAATCCTCCTCAGTGAGTCCAACCGAATTATCGGCTATTTAAAGCACACAGCTCTGCTACCGCTGCTGCTACTGCTGCTGCTAACAGTTGCAGCGTCTATGGTCCGCGCATCTCTCCACCTATCCGCATTTGCCGGCGAAGTTACCAACTGAACATTTAGACGTTCTTTCTGACACTCCAGTTGCCGGTATTTTCTCATATTGACAACGCCTGTCACCATAGGATTTCTGACTTATAGATTGGCGTTTAAAACAGTCCGGATTAAGCGGTACCTGTTACCGGCTTTGCTCTGATATTTAGCGTTCAGTTAGCCGGATGAAAATTTAGTGAAAATAAACAGTTACTGTCAAAGTACCGTCAACGGTTATAGCTCAACAGTATGCCGTTATGATAAGTGAAAAAAAGCTAAAAAAAAAAGAAAAAAGATGGAATTTAAACATTCTAAAATTAAAACTATGAAAAAAATAACAACATTATTTATTTTTCATGAATAAAATTTATTTAAACAGCAGTTATTCTCTCTTTTCCATCAGATTTTATTCAAATAATAAGTATATAGAAAATGTTTTTGTTTGCGCTCTAATAGCAATTAAGAAACGAGAAAAAAAAGCAGTGACAAAATTCTTAACGAAAAAAGTAAAATAAAAACTAAAATTTTTCTTTCACCACAACTAAATGACAATTGAAATAAAGTAATTCGCAACCAGTTTTTTTCTTCCAATGCAAACAACTTTTTTTTCAAGAAATTTGATTTTTTGATTTTAGAATATCTATGGACAAAAAAAAAAAAAGATGGAAACACGAACATAAGTAATGAGGAACTTCCACGATACCGTTAAGTTGGCAGTAAAAAAAGTTAAACAGTTTGCATAATTCTCTCACTTAATTTAAAACTTGCAAAAAAAATCTCTTCACTTAACCTCCTTCTCTTTATTATTATGTTCACAAACCAAATCCCTTAGCGTTTCTCAATTAGCTGCTGTTTAGTACTAAGAAATGAACGTTTCAAAGAGCTTTAGGAAAGCAGTTATACGACAGCAAAAATCTGGCGTATTTCTGAAAATCAGATCCTTAAAATCAGATCCTTTTTCCACTTCAACAAAATCGTCACTTTAAAACAAAAGTCCATCTGTATGAAACAAATTTAACTTAGGGATTCCAGTCAAGAAGAATAATAAAGTTTTCACAGGCAACAGAAGTTGAATCGTTGAATCACTCGGCACTACTGCACTGGAACTCTAAGGTATCAGTCTCTTTCACAGATTCACTAAAAAAAATGCAAAGCAATAATGTCTTTTTTTTTAAGATTGGCAGTGACAGACGAATAAAACAGTCAGAAGCTTTCAGATTACAGAAACTGTTTAAATTTTTAAGTGCAGAACAGAATTTATATTTAACAGTTGTCAGTTTTCCCAATTCTTTGCTTAAAGTTCATTGTTCAAAATTTTTTGATAGATTACTATTGCGACAAACGAGCACCGATAACTTAGCCCTTTTTACACAAAACAAAATTGCTGAATATATGTCGCATTTAACTTCCAGAATGATAATTCATCAGCAAATTATTTAGCTTATTGTGAAAAAAATATCCATAAACTGCATTTTTTCAGCATTTTAGACATGACTTTAATTTTTGCAACAGTTATTGCAACCTATTACTACACAATAAAACTTTATTGTTGTAAAAACTCGCTGGTTTCCAGTCTTCAGAATAAATAAAGTGTGAGACACCCAAATCCCTCTAATTTTACTAAATTTGTGCCCTTTCAATACTGTTGTTGTTCTTTGCTAGCAATTACAAAAAACTTCAGTGGAAACACCAGTCACGGTCACAGAAGAATTTCAAATTTTATAAGCGACTGTTGCATAAGGATCCCTTGGTTACCTTTTGATCAGCTTTCTTGTACCTTAATATTTTCAGTCCTGTTTATAACCACTTTAAAGTATCTGGAGAGTCTTCATTTCATTGGCTCACGAACAGAATGACAGCTTCTATAGATGAATTATTAATAGCCGACTGGTCTACGTTTGATTCTTTTCCGCTTCTTGCTGTCTAGTATTTGTTGCTGCCACGCGGGTCTTAGGTATTTAATAGCTTTATTTCACGAGTACAGATAAGTTAGAACAATCCGAACGTCAAACCTCAAATTTGGGTAATTAAACCTTGTTATAGAAGCATTAAAGAGGGGTTACATCGAATAAAGCACTAAAACATTAAAGCAAAAATCATAGGTTAAAATACAAATGGAAACATAACAACATCGTTAGTAAAGGATCACTCTGGACTCTTCCCCTTGTCCTGTGGCCTGGGTTCATATCCGTGACTCTTGATTTAGGCGGGGTTGAGATCCCTCAGATCTAACCCCATCAATCTCCTCCTCGTCCCCCGGGCCGTCTTTGAGCCGCTTACTTAATCCTCTTGCTCCCCGGCTCTGGGAGCATTTACTGGGAATACTTTGTCGTCCCTCTCGGGCCTGGGAGTGTTAGCTAGCGGCGACGGCTTCAATTAGTAGGTCAGGATTTTTTTTCAGTATCCACCTCGGTGTTAAAACCACTCAGTGTTTGAACAACAAGAAATTGCCATTTCGTCCGCAAGTCGGTGCTGCGCTGTCTGCCAAATTTACAGTACATTACAGCACAGCACCTCTAATGACTCAGCGAAAATACTAAAATTTGCAAATTACACTGAATTAAAAACATTCAAGTGCGTGAACATAAATATCCCGCCAACAAAAGGAACATATTAGACCAAAGGTGATCGAACTGCAACTATAGAAGCAACAGAAATCCCTGTCAGAACAGCCTTTAAAAAAACTTTAACCTAAAACTACTTGAGGTTACAAAGATTTCTCGATTCCAGCTGTCGTTGTTCTCCCAGCTCGCCACGGTATTTCGTTATGTCAGGATTCCGAAATTTCAGAGTTTAATTCTCTAGTTTTCTTCATTACATTAAATTTGTAAATTAATTTAACCTTCTTCTTTCTTTAATTATTACCTCCTGATTCCACGATTGGAAGTCGGTTTCTTTGAGGTCGTTTGGGACGAAAGAATAAACTCAAAATATTTTGGTCCTTAACACGACATTGCCTATTAGTTGATGAAACCGAGGTCCATGCAGTAAACCAAGAAAATACAAAAGTCGTTAAGTTGCTAATCTCAGAAAATAGCTTGACTTGTCTTGACTAGGCCAGTATAGGTTGTAGAGAGCGAAAGCAAAATAGCATTTAAAAAAAGACTTACCACCAAAAAACCCTTCAGAATGTCAGTCAGAAGACTTCACACTTGAGGTCTTGAGATTAGCAACTTCAACTTCAGTTGCCATAAAAAACCTAAAACCGGAACAAAATTAGCCTTCTCAAGCCTCGGGTCCACTCTAGCCAGCTCCGTCCAAGTCTTACTTCAGTCGACGACCCCCACTGATCTATCAGATGTTTTCCAACTTTTCAGCTTGCTTCCATTTTATAAGCCGTGCTCTTTAATATATAGCTTTTAGATCCTCTTCGATTTTAGGTTCGTAACTGATTTTATACTTCGAGTTTATCTATATCTCAGTTCAGTACCAGTCGTTCATTTCACCGATTTGATGGCTCCACCGTTACAGCTCTATTTCGCAGAAATGTAA